TGGTTGCCCTGAAACTCATCTGATATCAACTGATATAACAATATTTCTGATATGTATATAAATGTAATTGCACTGAGGAATCCAGAGTTAGGAATTAACAATTCCAACAAACACTTTATTTAGAAATTAGTAGCAGCAGCAGCAGCAGCAGCAGCAGTATTATTTAGATATCAAAAGAATATGTGCTTGGAGTGTAAATGGAATCTGCTGACTTCCAGATGGGATAATTCAAAACATGTTCCCCAAGGCAGAATAGACAGATCTGAACTTGTTCCATTCCATGTAGTTCTAGTCTCAATCTATTTCTCTGCAGCTCTTCTGCACTATAAAAAGCAGTTCTGCAGCAGCTGCCTGTGTAAAAACGTGCACCTCTTGTTATTCACACATGATATAATGAAGGAAGAAATAGATTCAGTTTAGTGGCAAACAGGTCTGGCCTCACATCAGATTGATTCTTGCAGTCATACTTCACTAGGTCTCCTCAATGACATCCTCACAGACTTCTCATCTTCAGCAGCTGTGTTAGCATACTTGGCCTAATCATTTACTTGTGTTTTATTATTATTATTTTTTTGCCTCATTTTTCTCTGCCCAGAGCCCATTAGGATTTAGGTAAGCTATAAATATTATCCAATTTTAGCACATTATATTCTGCCCCAAACAACAACATTAAGAGTACTTTCTTAAACAAATAACATTTTACAGGGGCGTAGCTTGAAACTCCCTACACATATCTCTGTGAAGTGTGGTATGTAGATTCCTCCCTAAAGCTCTGATGTTCTTGCACGTCTCTGTTAATAATCTGCTAAGAAGAAAGCTGAAAAAGTGTAGGTGTGCACTCACATATGTATAAGTCACACAATCACGATAATCAAAACAGCCAATATGTGCAAAGACTTCACCATTTCCAAATACACTTACATACATGAACTATTTGACATATTATTAAATGTACCCATCTCCTGCTACCATTATATTTTCTTATTAAAATGTTTTGAACTTGCATTTCTCAATAACAAAATCTACACTCACCTTTAAGTAACTGATGAAACAATTTCACACAAAACATATCAAAATAGATACAAGTAGTCCTCATTTAGCGCCTGTCTTGTAGAGCAACCATTCACAGTTACAACAGTGATGAAAAAATAACTTTGCAACCAATCCTCACATTTATGACCTCCTCAGGTCTGTAAAGCTGAAATAAGATCATAAGCACCGTTGCAGTTCCACTTAGCAAGCACTTTGCTTAATGACCAAGTTGCCAGTCCCAATTGTGGTTGCTAAACGAGGACTACCTGTACTCCAAATCTGTGAGCCATTTCAATTAGCCTGTTATAATGTATTACAAAGATTGATTTAAAAGTTCAATTACCAATTCTACTGTTTTCAAGTACATGAAAAGTATAAATATTATACTCAAACTCTGGAGCATTATCATTATCATCTTCTATTTTGATGATATGTACAAGTGGGATCTCTGGGGTATATCCATCCGACGTCATTGCATAGCAAATAAGCTGCAGAAAAGGCAGTAGAAGAAACATTTACTCCCCTGTAGCAGATGAAATGTTTCTGATAAATCAGGATACAATTATTTAATCCAGGTACCCATGCAGAATTTGCTTTGATGAATAGGCTGTTAACTATATTTCTATGTGCATAGGATGAATCCTCCTGCAGTAGTAATCTCCCTTCCTTACAGCAAGGCATGGTACTAAGTCCCAGGTATGAGGGTACCCAAGAGAATATCTAGAGATCATACAAGTATCAGACATAAAGATGGGCTACAGATAAAGTAGACTAAGGGCATAAGGGAAAGGAAGTTAATTTAATATAAAATGGCATAAGAAACCATAGACATAGACATGTCTCTTTTGAGACATAGGAGAGTTGGTGGACGGAAGAATCAGCAGAAGATATCAAGTATATTCACTGCCTCGTGTTGACCAAATATTATTATTATTATTAATAATATTAATAGGAACTGCTGAAAAAAATCAATATAATAAAGGGACCCATTTAATGGCCCAGGAAAGGAGAAAGATGCAAAGGTCATAGAAAGGATGTCTGTGTGTAAGCCCAGAGACTTGATGGAAGAAGACTGATAAGACAATGGCTAAAGTAATATAAGCCCAGAGAAAAAGAGATAAAGGGAAGAGATAAGAAAAATGAAAATTCAAGTGAGATCAGAGAAAGAAATATAAGGTTTACCTGCAACCCATTATTATAGCCATAAGATTGTTGGTGGACCTTGATAGCCTCTCACTAACATGTTCCCCATGTCCGTGTATCTGTAAACTCTCTATTTTTCACTGGCATGATTGGGGGGTTTCTGAAGGAAACCAAAGTCACCAAAATACTCTTTTAGACTATTTGGCATACGTAGACTAGAATGGTTTTGTGCCATCAGCTGCCAATAAATCAGATCTCACTCCATATCTATTTGTATGCCCAGGAACCTTTGTGACTGCTTGACTAACAAGTGAATGCCTCTGATACAAAAGGTTCTTACAACCAAATTGTTCTCATTGTATATGTATTCTTTTTGGGTATAAACACAACAGGGCTCCAAAAATTGCCCTCAAATAATAATTTTTCATGTGACAGGAGGTAAATATTATTAAATAGATGGGGAATAATTATATTAACTCAATTAATTTCAAAATAGTCATGTCTGTTTATGGTTCTGATTCTTAAATATAAATTCAAAGAATATTGACAGTACAAAGTCATGTATCAAAGTCATGTGTCTGTTCTTCTGAAACCTATGCAGTGTATACAAAGTTATATCAGTATTTGTGTAGTGTGTGTATATGTCTATGTCTGTATTTAGAATCACATACCTGAAATTCTGGGTATTCTTCCCGATCTATTGGGCAAGTAACAAAGAGATTTCCAGTTTCTTGCTCAATGTAAAAGTAATTCAGTGGTGGTTTGTCAACACCAGGACCAGTTATGAAATACCTAATATCGTACTTTAGTGCCATATCAGAAGACAGCTGTGTGAATATAAACACATATGAAATTAAAATAATTGACAAATATAATTCTTTCCTTCTTGCCTACCTAATTCAGTTCAACAGAACTGAACTAATTCAGAATTCATTAAGAATCTTTTGAACAGCAAAGGATTGTTGCAAAGGGATTCTTTCCAGATCGTTAGGGTCACAATATGCTTCAGTGTGCAGTAGGCACTATATGGGGTGTAATGGTTGTAACCTGCTTGCCATGTGGGTAAGTATTAATTGTACTAGACCAAACCCATATTCAATTAAAGATCTGTAATTCAGGATGCAACTGGACTATCTCAGTCTCAAAAATGTTCAGCAGTGGAAAGGCCATTATGGCCTATCAGTCAATTCCAATGAGAAACAGTCATTTAAAAATTTAAGGGGAAGTTTGTAATTGTTAGAGTCTTATATGGAGTCTTATCAGATATTACTGCATGTATGTTAATAGACTTAGTGCATACTGCATTTCTAAATGGACTTAATAGCAATTACATAGTTTTCATTTCTGAAATTAAATATAATACATTTCACATATCTACTTTGTTGTAACTACTGTACAGACTTTTTTAGATGACAGCAAAGGAAACGTTATCCTCAATCCTGTGCTCTTGAAACAATGTCAATATTATGCATATGTAGTTTTGCAAGTGATGTGCCTCAGTGGAGCACTTCGCCTCATGGAGGTAGATTGCCCTGCTCCAGCACTGCAAAGGATTTTGCAGAGGCACATTGTTCCACCTTAAACAAGAGTCTTCCATTGCTCTAGAAAAATATTTAAGGGTTGGTAGCAAGCTTATCCCCTTCATGGATCACTGCCTTGTCGTGGCGAAGGGGCTTGCGTAACTCAGTGAA